CCATTGCAGTACATGGCAATAATACCACTGCCAGGAGCCCAGGTAACAGCATGCCATCATACAAGAGGCATACTTTCTTCGCCATATATATTTTGTTCTTTTCCCTCCTCGGATAATTCCTCATAACTGCATGGATTCACACTAACAAATTTGACGTTTTGTTTCAGTGCAGAGAAGAAATGACTTTCGATCAATCTACAAATATTGTTGCAAGTCAGTTATGGTCAAAACACAAATATTGATTGAACTCAGCTGCCCAATGAACTCAAACACAATACCTTAAAATCAAATTGATCGCAATAGAAGGTTGTACGCATCAGGACCTCTTCAGTCCAGTGGTGATCCAATTGGTGATCCATGGACCTGTGGGGTCTGTGTAACCCACCCAGGGGGGTCCATGGCACCATTCACATAACAAAAACTACCATGGAGATATCAAACTTATCAAAAGTAAGGAGTCCATGGCTTGACCTTTTAAAAACAGGGAGTCCACAGTACTTTGCTAATTGGGAGTCACTACTTTAGTCAACCACTTCAGGACCATCATCAGCTCCTAGAAAACTAGGAAACTAAGAAGAATGTTCAGCGAATGCTGAATCCTTTCCTGCTATAACATCTTGAGCCCTCCCAAAAGATAGACCTGTGAAACAGGTGACTGTCAAGAGTGATGGGCAATACAGTGTCAAGAGGGAAATCAGCACAGATAAGCAAGCATCTCACACATAAATAGAAAAGCTTTACATTAATGGAAGCAGATGTTTGGATCATGACTTCCATGTAATAGTGTGGATGCTCTGTAATACTGGTGCAGATGCTCAGTTGTAGCCAGCTTAATTTACAGTGAATAGATCAAAAGTAATATTAAAGATAAAACATTATATTCTTATGTATTCTGTTACGGAAAAATCTAGGTGTGAGGCTGCTCAGTCACCCAGCTCATCGGGCAGAGCCCGCGGGTCCCTGCGGAATAAAGGAAGGAGTCCAGCCGCCAACTGGAGCAAATAGCTGTAGACCAAAGTTTATTGCACAGCAGGTTCAAAGAGGAATTTGAACCCTGAGGATGGGGTGACAAGGACTTTTAAAACTTTCCCACCATATCCCAGAATGCAGTTCATACAGCATCATTGATAAATCATTGCTACATCACTGACATGTCACAAAAGGGGAGGGGTAGACAGGAGTTACACTAGTTCAACCTTGGCAAAGATGTCCAGACAAGTCCTTGGTACAAGATTAGCATAAGCAAACATGTCAGGGCAAGAACCAGGTATAAGATTAGCATAGGCAAACACCTCTGAAGTCCCTCAAAGCTCAGAGGTGAGTGTGGGTCTTTGTGTAGCCCAAGTGAGACCATTCACACTCATCAGCAAACCTGGGAGGAACTACAAAGTTTACAGAAAATAGTGGAAATACCCTAAAAGCAACTCATTGAAAACTGGCTAGTGGACCTGAACCCAACCAGATTGAACTCCCTATATATTGGCCGAGGTGTATGTGGCAGATTAAATGCTGCATTGTGCATATCAACCAGTTCCCAGCAGAAACCAGCTGGTGAATCCAAACCAAGCAGGTTTGACCTCCCCACACATCATTTTCTGTAGTTATGTATCTTCCTGCCCACACCTGAAATCACATATGACATGAGGTGGGTGTATTTTCAGGAAAAAAGTCTTTGTGGGCTGAGTGGGGAGATGTGGCAGTCCAGCTTGGCCTGTGGGATAGAGTTTCTTCACCCCAACCTAAATCTACATGGGGATTGTGCACCTTAAAACACTGGGGCGAAGTGGCATCATAAGAATAAGCCTTAAGAATAAGAAGAGGAATTACACATCTAGGAATCTGTGCCCATTGGATTTCTTTTCTTTTCTGAAAATTGCTCAGCCTCGTTAGTTCCAAACATTAAAAACATGGTGGCAAGGATTTTGGAATCAAATTAACCCCGTTTTGCCCATGCTGTTGCACAATTGATTGTGTTTGGCTACCTATTAGATTCTCCAGGGAACTGACTGATGGGAAGAAGTGCTATAATACCCTGTAAATATGCTAATCGCGGCATCCTTATTATGTTTACATGGAGCAAGTGTGTTAATGGCTGTCTAATGTGTTTGCCCTGCAATGTGATTTCACTTCAGACTGTTTTAAAAGTGTAATTGTTCACAGCTGCCTAGTGATGATGGGCAGCTGATACTTGGGCCTTAATTGCTAATCAAGCACCTGGGAGGGCCTTTTACGGTGGTTGAAATGGTTCGCTTCAATTTATTTCTGATGAAAGATGTTTAAAAGAAGTATATTCCACTGTTAAGAGCAATAGATTGGTTCCAGTTCAGCTGGAAGGCTTTTGCCAAATCTGTTTGTAGACCAAAGTTAATTTGGGGTGTTTGCTTGCTTGCTTTTCATTTTTTTTAGCACTTAAGATCGTTACTTCTTTTCACATGAGGATATGAAATTAATTTCATGTACAGTAGCAACAGTCTGCACTTCCATATGCAGGTCCCACTGTCTGCCCTCTCGCTATATGAAAATTCGCTTACCTACATGTAAAAAATTCTGCCCAAACCTCACTATACATTCTGCAGATTCAGATATCTGAACATGCAGAATTGGCCCACTTCCTTGCTTGTTTGTGCTTTCTAGTCAGCATCAGCCATTTAAGGGAAACCATGCCGGGAGGGAGGGAGACTGGATGAATAAGAGAGCAGGAGAGATCAGACAAACCAGTTTTTCCTTTGTCTCTCTTTAGCTGGTTGGTTGCACCTCTTTCAGGAAAAAAACATTGAAAAAGAGAGATTGGAAAAATCCCAGATTAGAAATGTTCCCCTAGGAATCAATGGAAATTGTGGACACCTGATGAATGAATTCAAGGGAACACAGTGTGTGTGTGTACACATATTGGGTGGGGTATTGTTTGGGGCAGTGGTTCTCAAACTTTTCCCCCTGGGCCACACTTTCAGAATAAAAATTTGCTCACACCATACCAAATAGTTTATTCATAAGAAATACATTGGAAAACAAAAAGAAACAAGTCCCAGCAGTGCTTGATTTATAACACAGACCACAACTGCTTTAAAGAATGATCATGGGGCATCCAGAAAGTATAAACCATACAACTACATAGGAACGTGAATCATTCCCAAAATTATAAATGTGTCTTCTCTAGTACAGTGGTACCTTGGATCTTGAACATAATCTGTTCCAGAAGTCCGTTTGACGTCTGAAATGTTCAAAAACCAAGGCGCGGCTTCCAATTGGCTGCAGGATCTTCCTGCACTCAACTGGAAGCTGTGTTGGATGTTTGGCTTCCAAAAAACATTGGAAAACTGGAACACTTAAGGCATCCGGGAGCCGACTTGTTCATCAACTAAGCCGTTCAGGAACCAAGGTTCCACTGTACTCTGTTCAAATGGTGATTCTGGATGACAACTAGGATTGCCCTCAGTATCACTTGATGTTCTTGATTTCATTTTGAAAAGATCTTTCCATATTCTGCAAATAAATAAACAAACTGATACCATACCATACCATACCATACCATACTATACCAACAGTGATATGTTTAAATGTTTATTTGATTGTCCCCAAATCTTCCCAACACACTTGCCGTCCTTTTCTGCCATACTAGCGTGGTGTGTCACACCTTGTGACAACCATTCGTTTAGGGGTTGTTGGTTTTTTTTGGGGGGGGTTTCAAGATTTATTTTTAAAGGTGCGTTATTTTTGCTGTTATTTTCTCTGTTACCTGTGTGTGTGCGTGTTCCTTCCATGCCATAGCATCCATGCTAATGGGGCTTTCTGCCACTGAACAGGAAACGCCACAAAATTCTCAGACTGTAGGTTGACCATCTACATTTGAGGTGCTGCCAAGTAACAAATGGCTTGAACTAGTAAGTATAACAGAAAGACTCCCAACTTTCACCGTTGCAGTGATGGAAACAAGTATTAGACTATAAACTGAAACTCTGAACTCTCGCCAGGTGATAATTTTTGCAAATAACTTTGTTTTCCAAAAAAGAAATGAACTGGCTGTTTGATGTGGAGAAGCTCATTTTGCAATAGTTTCAGCTGGTATCTGACATGAGTTAGGGCCTTTTAAAAACTGAAGCCAGTTGACTGGAGTGGAATTTAAAATATGCTAAACTGATTTAATACTGGATGATGTGATAAAACTGTTCCTGGATGAGAGTACTTCAAAGTACAGGTGGAAGGCTACATGATTTGAATGCATCCCATTAACAGAACAAAACCATAAACTTACACACAGAAAACTCAAAACTTGTTCAGATGATGCATGCAGAATCAACATGCATGGTGGGTCAGAGAGTAGCAAGCTCTACCGCCAATCTTTTCCCCTTCTTTACAACACTTGCATAGAACATTCTGCATATACAGCTTTGTTCAATGTACAAAGGGCTAGGAAATTCAGGAATTCTAAATTAACGAGCATTGTCACCACCCCTCCACAGGCCTATTTTCAGTGTGCAGCAAAGGACTACAGGAGCTTTCTAGATTAGCAAAGTAAAAGTGGGGAAAAAAGGGAAAGTACACCTGGATGGTTAAGTCCAGTCAAAGGTGACTATGGGGTTGTGGTGCTCATCTCGCTTTCAGGCCAAGGGAGCCGGTGTTTGTCCACAGACAGCTTTCCAGGTCCTGTGGCCAGCAGGACTAAACTGCTTCTGACACAACAGAACACCGTAACGGAAGCCAAAGCACATGGAAACACCGTTTACCTTCCCGCTGCAGCGGTACCTATTTATCTACTTGCACTGGCATGCTTTCGAATTGCTAGGTTAGCAGCTGCTGGGACAGAGCAATGAGAGCTCACCCTGTCACACAGATTAGAACCGCCAACCTTCTGATCAGCAAGCCCAAGAGGCTCAGTGGTTTAGACAACAGTGCCACTTCCTGCAGTCCCCTCCTCCACATGTGCTCTCCCCACTTGAACACATGCTCTTAAATACTTGCTCTTCCTGCTTGCAGTCTGAAGTGCTGCAATCCAGAAATGCTTTTCAGCTGGTAGAGCATGAGACTCTTAATCTCAAGGTCATGGGTTTGAGCCCAACATTGGGCAAAAGATTCTTGCATTGCAGGGGGTTGGACTAGAGGTACAGCAACTTGGGCTGTCAGTGGAATTTTTGCATTCGATGTCCCCAACATCTACCAAGGCTATAATAAAAACTAGGTTGTGGGACATTGAACACCAGGAACTAACAGCAGCAGCAGAGAAAATATGTTCCCCTCTTAACTTTCAACTTTCTTGGGCATATGAAATTAACCACAATTATCTTGAATTTTTGCTTAATCCTCAGGAAAGAAGGGCATTTTCGCTGGCCAGTTTTAATTCAAATCCTTCAAACCTCCTATGGGGAAGGTTCTCAGGAATGGTAGAAGGAGAAAGAATTTGCCCATGTGAAGACCATCAGGTGGAAACTCTTACACCTATGGTTCTTAAATGTAAACTATATGTTGATCTCCGCCAGCAGTTCCTAGATCTACTCTGCATCCCCAAATGGAAACCAGAGTTAGAGGTCATACATTTTCTATTATTGGGGAATAATCATCAAGTTAGTGGCTAAATATCTTTATATGTTTTTTTGTTGTCAAAACACATTGCAGACGTCTGATCTCCCTGGAGACATAGAGATGTAATGTTTTGTCTCTTTCATTTGACAAATGTTTTGTGTCACTGGGAAGGTGGGAATTCTGTATTGATTTGCTATGGATGTTTGTATGTGATGCCAATACAAGGTTTGATGATGATGGTGATGACTAGAGGACCACCACGGTCCCTTCCAACTCTACAATTCTGTGATTCTATATGGTCTATCAATTTACAAAGGATTGACCTTCAGGCCATGGCAGAGATTCTGCTTTCACAATCTGGCATCTTGCTAATCAGGTGTCAGGTGTGTGGAGACTCCCCCCCTCCCTTCAGAAATTCAAAGACCAGAATTAACAAGCACTTTATATTTTATAGACCTTTTTATTCAGTCATCTGGTTGCAAGCAACAATCAATATCCCTCCACAAAGAGAGCAGTTAGCTACTCTAAATCCTCCCCCTACTGTCACTTGCTACATCCTGGGCGCAAACAGGAAGTTCCTCCTCCTCCTCTCTGCATTCTTTGTTCTCTAATACGGTCAGACGTCCTAGTTCTTGGGGAGGGAGGGTCTCCCACACTCTATAATGATGTATCTGCTGGCTGTTCCCTCCCTTCTGTTTCTCTTTCCATTATCTCATAGCTAGGCAACTCCTCTCTAAGCTGCTCAGTGTCTTGTGTCTCTCCCTGTTTCTGAAACTGGTGGAGACCAGGGTGAGGCGATTCTTCCCCCTCCAACTCCTCTTCAAAGAGGAGCTGATCTGCCTGAGATTGCATTCCCCAGTCCTCTGATTCAGAGCATTCCCTGGCACAATGCAAACTTTACTAAGATATATGGACTACTGGTCTGACTAGGAACAAGGCACCTTCCCATGTTCCTTCCCCATAGAAGATTATTTCCAAATGTTGTTCTGAGCATGGTGTCATCATACGTGCATGTATTAAGTGATAAAATAAATTAAAATTCCTTGTGAAAAATCCATGCTTCTGCCAGGGGTAGGAAGAATAATTATTTCTGCATTTTTCCCATTCAATGAGATTGCAGCACTAAATCCGTCAAAGGACTCAACACTGTTGAATCTCTGCATGAGTCCCTGAATCTCAGGAACTGCTGTGCCTGTGCCCAGACTCTCCCCCCAATGTGGTAAGTCACTGTACTGCAGCAGACAGCCTTTTCAGGGAAGTAACTCATACCCTCCAACATTCCACTGATGAAAATTAGGATGCTTTTTTTGGCCCCAAGCTCTTGCAGGAGCCAGCTGATGAGTGCAAGACCAAAAGATGCTTGCTTTTTCGTCTGGCACTCTGGTGTGAGTTAGCTGATTTGCGCAAGAGCGTGAGACAAACCAACAAGCATCTTTTGGCCCTGTGCTCTGGCGCAAGCCAGCTGACTCATGCCAGAGTGCTGGACCAAAAGATGGGACATTCCAGGATCCAATCAGAAGCTGGGATGGCTTCTGTAAAACCGGGAAGTTCTGCTCAAATAGGGATGGTTGAAGGGTATGGTAACTTCAGTCCCTGGATAACTAATGCTGACCCTCAGGCTGATCACTGGATTGTGTTGGGATTGTGTTAGGAATTGTGTTGGAAAATGGAGGTACTCTAGTCAAGAGAGGGCAGGTGATGTGTAGGTATTTGAAAAGCAAACTGTTTTGGAAGTGGGAGTAAAGCATGTCTTCAATTTTAACTGACAAAAAAGAATGTGCCAGCTCTCAGAAACTGGGTAAACAGAGCACTAGCGTTTACATAAAAATGCCAAACACACCCTACTAGATTTACTCTTTCCTTATCACCCACAAGATGTAAATGGGAATTGTCAGCATGGGTTGTGTATCAATGTGAACCATGGACTACTATTACTCTTTTCCGTATTCTAATTTATTAGGTTAAACATAAATTAGTCTGCAAGTAGTTGCAGAAGGTTGTGCATATTAATTTGCCCATTATATATCACTTGCCGGCAAAGGGCACTGATTTAGTTGTTGTGTACGCAAAATGTGTCTTATCATTTTGTCCACGGGCAATGCTTCCTGAAAAGAGTTCAGAGCCGCTAACCATGATGATGTTTCCTTCACACTTTCTGTTAAGCATTTGTAAGTTTTCTAAAAAGAAAGAAAGTAATTTGTTGTAGTCAATTAGCCAACGCACTGTGCTTTGATATCAGTACAGTATAGGCTATTTCAGGATAAATACATCAAGTGGATAAGAACCTTCAGCAATGTGTAATAATATGTGTAGGTGCCACCTATATGCATGTCTGTGGTTGCATGCACACCTTGCATTTAAAACACAAACAAACAAGAATCCCACAGTTGAAGTGTGCTGGGAATTTTAGCTCTGCAAAGGGAAAACTACAGTTTCCAGGACTCTTGGGGGGGGGGTGGCGTGCTTTAAATGAATGGGGTGTATATCACCTCTGTTTGCATGTGTATATGTGCGAGAGGAAAAAAGACAGCTGGACCCTTTGTGAGAGATGGGGAACACTGTAATTGCACAAGCACAGCCCTATTTCTCTCTCTGAAACATTGCAGAGTACATAGAATCCTTTTATTTATTCCATTTTCGTCTCCTCTTCATCAAAAGGCCATTTTCTGGACTCGGTAAGCAATGCTTTCCTGCCTTCATCCCAAGCATTTTGGCTGCTGCTGTTGCTTCTTCAAGCTGAAACATGGGGTGGAGAATGCATTAAAGTAAAGCTATAAATGGTTAAAAATAAAAGTGCCTCTGGCTGCTTGTTGCTATCCCCACTCCCCACCCCCCCACCCCCGGAAATAGTCTTCAGAAAGGGCTCATTGTGAAGGCCAATTAGATCCTTTAAGAAGATAATTTCTCCCTCACTGTGGTAATGAATCCCCATTTTGTCTACTGCTTCTGTATTCATCCTTCCGAGGCAAAACAAACAGGAATTCATGGCTGCAGCTCAAATGCACATGGAATTGCTTATACTTTGATCCAAGAATATCCATGTTGATTGTTTAAAAACAACACACTGGTGTCAGGAAACAAAAGGACCTAAGTTTGGTAGTTTTGAAAGCATCCATTTTGAAGCTCCTTAGAAAAACACTTTCAGAATGTTTTATTTTCTTGCCTACTAACTTCTACACTGCAAATTAGGGTATTACTCGTTTACTTTTTTTATTGTGATAGAGGTGCAGTCCTAGCCATTGGGGAAGGGCTATAACTGACTGGTGATGGTAGAACATGCAGAAGGTTCCCAGATTCAATTCCTGGCATCTCCCAGAAGTGCTAGGAAACTCCCCTCTCTGGAACCTTTGAGGGCTGCTGCCAATCTTTGTCTTCTTCTTCTTCTTCTTTGGCAATCCCTCGTAGCTGAGTAAGATTGTCTTCCATAAACACAGTCTTAACAGTGAGTCCGTAAGTGATTGTGGAGACCAATTCTGGATCCATACATCCTTCCACAGTGGGGACATAGGTTTCCAAGTGGGAGTTGATCACGGTGAGGGTTTGCCAAGCGTGCCTTCCTCTTAGCGTGTCTCTCCCTTTCATCCTGAGTTCGAGTGTCTTCAAAACCCATAACATCTTTGGTAAAGGCTGTTCTCCAACTGGAGTCCTCACAGGCCAGTGTTTCCCAGTTGTCGGTGTTTATACTACTTTTTTTTTAAGATTTGCCTTGAGAGAGTCTTTAAATCTCTTTTGTTGATCACCAGCATTACACTTACCATTTTTTAAGTTCAGAATAGAGTAGTTGCTTTGGAAGACGATAATCTGGAACCCGTACAACATGACCAGTCCAACAAAGTGGATGTTGAAGAATCATGGCTTCAACGCTGGTGATCTTTGCTTCTTCCAGTACACTGGCATCAGCTCACCTTTCTTCCAGGTGATGTGCAATTTTTTTCGCAGACACTGTTGATGGAATCTTTTGAGGAGTTGGAGATGGCATTTATAAGTGGTCCACATTTCACATGCATACAGTAAGGTTGGTGGTACAATAGCTTTGTAAACAAGCATTTGGGTTTCCCTGCAAATGTTCCAGTTCTCAAACACTCTGGACTTCAATAGGGAGAAAGCTGTACTACTGAACTAGACAGACCAATGGTTCCATACTTACAGGGCCAGATTAAGACCTTAATTAATTATTTAAGAGCTTAATTAAGCCCTGAGCACTTAAAAGATTTTGGAATTCTAATTCAAAATATGAACAATGATAAACCGTAAAATAAAATGTTATCTTTCGAAATGAAACGAAATGTACAGTAAGATGGAAAATAATGTTTGTTTTTGTATACTTCTACTTTATTTATATTTGGGGGAAATCTCCCCTACTTTTTCTAATTGCAAAGTCTTTGATCAGATCCCCAAAACTAATCTTATGTAACACATCTGCTTCTATACTTAGTAGAGATAAGGCACCCAGCCTGCCTTGTTGCACAGTTGTTCTGTGTGGTTCAGCTGCACAATACGGTCCATGGTAAAAAATGGCTATGAAAAATTTCCCTGGTGCCTCTCTTCCCT